GCCACACCGGCTCCCCGAGCGCCCCCCGCGGGAGCCTGCGCCTCTCGCCTCCCGTAGGGACTCGCACCGCTGAAAAACAAGATGAGAAGGTGAGTTCATTAAAATGCACCGCGCAAACCTTCGCGTCCGGCCTGAATATATCCCCTGGCTAAACCATGGGGTTCCGTTACCGACAGCGTAATGACCCGCGTACTACGGATTAGAAGTCGACCTACACCTCGACGACAGCGTCGTTTAACTCCTTGTCAAAGGGCGACAAGATAGTGATTTAATACTGCGATTCGAACTTACCCGAGGGATTTAAACTATCTTGGGATTTGTTAGAACAAGGGTTTATAAGTAATTGATTTCTATTGATTGAATTCGAGGACTTTCGATAAAGGGTACTTTTAAGGATGTTCTAATTTTTAGGATGTAAGGTGGAATATTTCAGAGTTTTGTGGACCTTGGGTTCTAGTTTTTATTTCCTAGATTGAAGTTCGAAGTTTATTACATTCTGAAATTAGATCTCAAGATTTCAAACTGTAGTTGTATGATTCAAAAATTACAAAATGCGAGAGTTCATATTTGGAGGTACTAATTTGGCGATGATTCAAATTCAGTTTCGTAGTACAGAAGTTCAAAAAATTTTTAAGCACTGTAATTCCGAAGTTCTAGAATACAAAAGCTAGATACTGGGAGACTCCAAAATTCAAAAATTCCAAAATTCCAAATTTCCGAATTTCCGAATTTCCGAATTTCCAAATTTCCAAATTTCGAAAATTCCAAAATTCCAAATTTCGAAAATTTGAAAATTCCAATATTCCAAAATTTCCAAATTCCAAATTCCAAAATTTCCAAATTCCAAAATTTCCAAATTCCAAAATTTCCAAATTCCAAAATTTCCAAATTTCCAAATTTCAAACTTTCCAAATTCCAAACTTCCCATATTCCAAACTTCCCAAATTCCAAAACTTCCAAATTCCAAAATTTCCAAATTCCAAAGCTTCCAAATTCCAAAGCTTCCAAATTCCAAAGCTTCCAAATTTCAAATTTCCAAAATTCCAAAATTCCAAAATTCCAAAATTTCAAAAATTCCAAATTTCTAAAAATTCCAAATTTCCAATATTTCCAAAATTTCAAAAATTATGAAATCCCAAATATTCAATGTTTGTGTGTCCTCCAAATCTTTCATATTATCTGCCTACATCTTCCCCTAGATTCACTCTTCGTTCCCTATATTCTCTCAATATTCTCCCTAGATTTTTCAATTAACTTTCACCAGAAAACTTCTACTTAACCTCATCCACATTTCTAACAAATACATTATTACTCAAACCTCGCAATCTCAATCTCCCATTTAAAACCGCCTTGAATCCCACATAAAACCATATCGCTAAATAATCAAACATCTGTCCAAGTTAATCCCGTTTAGAAGCATCGTGAATAACGAAGCGTTCGTTGACACGCAGAAAACTCGTCCATTAAATTGCGCAACGTCGGAAGAATGAAATTCTTTCCAGGAGCTTTACCGCGGAAAGGCTTGCTTTCGTCGTTTCGTGCGACGTAACCCGTGAAAAAAAGAAAGAACGAAAAAAGGTGTCACGTAGCAACAGACCCGACGATACCGAAGAATAAGTAAGATAGCGAGAAATAAAGCCGACGGAAATAAAAGCAACGACAACCGTTTTTTTCTAAGCTGCCAGCTCGAGGGTGTTTTTACGCGTACACGCTCGTGAACGCACGCTTACAACCTCGTTGCTCGTACAATGCTCGCTCGTAGCCAGGGTCGGTTACGTACTACGAACCGAACGGAATGAAACTGCTGAATACCATGAAAATGGCTACGCAGTCTGGGAATTTCAGGAAAAAAACTATTTCTTGTTCGTTCTACTCGTAGTCGGGTTTTAATGCGGGATTTCTGGCAACTCTTTCAAATTTTAGAATATTGAGATCTGAAAATTTCGAAATTATCGTAGCTTTTGATTTTTTTAGAATGTTCAAAGGTTTTAATTATTAAGATGTGTTAGGGTCTTAAAATTTTTTAATTACCTTTTTGCACCTCTAAATTTTTAAATTAAGTACTTTCAAGGTTTTACTATTTCTAAGTCGACAAATTTCAGTTTTGTAGATTTTTAGAATCTGAAATATTTCAACTTTTTAAATTCCTGAATTTCTAAATCCCTAAATTATCAAATTGGTAAATTTCTGAATTACTAATTCCTGGATTTGCAAATTTTCGAGTTTTCAACTTTTCAAATTTTAATATTTCTAAGTCCTCAAATTCTTAAATTTCTAATTCCTCAAATTACTTCTGAATATTGTGTATATTAATAGTATTGATAATATTGACAATATTGATAATATCGATAATATCGATAATACTAATAATATTTATAATATTAATAATATTGATAATTTTGATAATATCGATAATACTGATAATACTGATAATACTGATAATATTGATAATATTGATAATATTGATATAAAATCTCAAAATTTTTAAATTCTTAAATTTCCCACTCTATGAATTTTCTTTAAATTTCCGAGTCTCCAAGTTTTCCACCCCCAAATTTCTAACCTACAAAATTTCATCAACCCCAAATCGTCAAATCACAATATTCCCATAATTTCAATATCACCAAGTCTAAAATCATGTTCTTTCTACCGCTTCTAACACATTTCGCACAGTTTCTATTTCGCGATATTCGTGCACAGAACAAACAAGAAAAATTTCATAAATTTTTACGGACGTCGCATTCGCGTACACGCGCGACTAAATACAGCTCTATTTGCCTGGTCCGCATCGTGAATTAATATCCCATTTTTTATTCGTTCAGAATTCAAAACAGAGCAGCGAAATGTGGTATTATTGCCTTTGTTCCCCTTTTTTTGATTATGTATCGCCAGTCGTAATAGATTCCGAGAATCTCGCAAAAACAAAATTTATAGCGTATAATCTTTTGATTACTTTGCTGTATTTTGCAACTGATATCGTTTGACAAACTTTGACGTATGAATAAAATAACAGGAACGACGAGCGCATATAATCCTGCAGGATTTTAGTTTGCGATACAATAAATAGAAAGAATCTGTCGGATTTGATTCGAAAAAATGAGTGACACGGTACGGGTTGGCTAAATCATTTCGTTTTTAAAAGCGGGCTTACGAGATTTTGTTACGTTCGTCACAAATGGTGTTCAATTTGATATGGAGTATCGAATATCGGACATGGACAATTGATACACGTCGAGACAAACTAATCGGCGCGAAATCAACTATTCAACTGTAAATACCCCAAGACACTCATCTTCCAGCAATTTTCTCGTCTCGACAGCCAATTCTCTTTCTGCATAATTTATCATGCACTCTCCTGATTCTTTCCCTTTTCGAGTACCGTTGCAGTGAATGGCGTGGCTCGTTCACCGAAACACACTCGTAAATTTTCAATGCATAGACAAGCATCGAACGATCAATGATATACGTTCGTCCGGCAATCGTGCTCGAAGCCGACGCATCGTTATCGTAAATTTGAAAATTACTGTATCTGACGTCAGGGATCTGGCGCGGATACGCCGATTGAAAAATCCAATTACTTTAACGGACTCCTCCACGATTTTTACGTTCTTTTTCTATCCGAACTGGTACAGGACTCACCACTTTTAATTAATAAATAAATCAGAATGTACATGAAAATGGTAATGCATCGATCTTAATTATTAATGAACGTGCTACTTTATTTTTAGGTTATTAGGTCTTGGAATGCATGTTACGAGAGGATTAAACCTCAGCACAATATTGTTCGTTCCTTCACATTTGTTTTAATTCGTAGCAGTAAGACCCAAAGTATCATTGCATTCTAGCGAGTATTTTTTGATTTGTTAGTCACATCTGGTTAGAACCCCAGCAGAGTATTTTTGCAGTTTTCTATTCATGTCAAGGTTTTATTATTTGCTGGGTCACTTTGGGGAAAAGACGTCACACTTGCATTTCCATCTCCCCCCGAATTTTAGCTAAACCAGTAGAAAATCGGAAACCGTTTTCTCTCAGCAATGTCACAAAAATTGTACCCACTCCCAGCTTTCGTAAAACGTAAAATTTCTTCGAAGAGACTCCCTCATCACATAGGAAAATAAACTCTAGTCATTTGAAGTGAAACTTAGATACGGTCCACTTATATTCACTTGTTGGAATCCCGATTACGTCGTTAAATCGTCACTTATGCTGACGCTGCACATATAAATGTTTAGCAAGATTGTTTCCATACAGAAGACTGATTTTATTGCACACAAGAAAAACCTCTTCAAAAAGATTACAGAAGTGTCGGGTGTCACGATCGATCATTCTATCGCAAGTGTTTCGAACACCCTTTCAAAACGCCACGCTATGGACACTTGATGAACAGGTATAACAATAAAACGAAAATAAAAGGAAGCAGAAAATTTTGCACGAACATGATTTCATTGAACAGTGCTCAGGAAATTTCACATATTTAGCGAAATCAGGGTACTTATGAATTAATCAGGCATTGTTGTATGTCTGTTTTGATCACAAATGATTACGTGGTTCAGCATTATTTCCGCAACAAAATCACAGCTGTCATCAGAATCCGGATCGCGAGCTAGTTTCGAACGAGCCATGACTTTAATCCACGCGTAACAAACGAGCCAATTATCAGCCAATTTCCCACGCTCATCGTGACCCATTCTCTTTCCGCATAATTTATCGATTTTCTATAGGCATTTCACGTGTTCTTCGCTCAGAATCAACGCGATCTGTTCATAGGCCACGTTGTTGCGCATTTGTGAAATTTCTACTGAACGCTGAAAGAATTTCAAATTTCCGATACTATCCTTTCTGACTGTATAGTCAATCTGGAGCTGCATTTATGATGCACAGAAATTTGATGATTCCGTGCGAATACCAGATTTTTGAGCGGAAATGTTCGATTGCCAAGCACGTTCAATGCTATGATTCTGTATTACTTATGG